ACCTTCCTTATGTGTACAGAAACGATTTGTCTTAACCTTGAATTTACCCTGGTAGTATTTAAGTCGTTTTATGGCCTAGAATAATGTGAAAACTTCCTAGTCTTTCCATACGATGTAAGTTTTCTCCCTATCCTTTATTTGCAATTATCAATTTGTTTGCTTGAACTCTCATTTGATTGACCCTTATTAATATTCATATAAAATGCCTTGACAAGTATACATATGACCAGATTGTTTGTAATGTATAGCGTAAACACATCACATTCTTCAGGTCAACTCCGTCTTCTCACTGTCCTATCGAGACATGTAATAGCAGATGCATTGCCTTGAAGTGAAGTGAACTCAATTGTCTGTTACATGGACAGCTAGGATTACAGATTTGGAGATGTTTCGGATACTCCATGCCAGAAAACGTTTTTGTCTGCAACGCCTTTTAAACCCAGGATCCAAAAGTCAGTAGTTAGCAATGTAATGGTTAGATTATGTTCAATGCGTCTAGATGTATATGACCTCATTAGATGCTCAATATATAGTTGTGTGACCATTTGTAAACACTGTTCTGACAACTTGCTATTTCAGAGGCATCTGATCGTCCTTCGTTTGGCCAGGCAGTTCCGTGGTGCACAATGATAAGAAATAACTTAGAAAGAAAATCACAAATCATATTATTTGTGGTGGGTTATTTATATCTTACAGTCATCTTGAAAAATAAAAATATTGAAAATGTTAATGCATGTGGAAACACACTAGTACTTCAGTAATCAAGATCAGCTTACGATAAAAAACCTAATTTATATGTGAAAGCGCGGAAAAACATTACACAAAGAGGTTCTCTAGGACTTTTTGTAAGAACGTACACATTTAAACACATTCAAAAGTCAGTTTTCCTGGTTTGCTTGCTTTTGAAGCATTAAAAGAACTGTGAATGTAACTAACTGTCTGTAGAACTCGAAAAATGTGACCAAAATTCATATAACGTTTTTTTCAGCAGTAGTCGTTAAAGTGTTGTGGTAACACCAGAGTCCTTCCAAAACGCATCGTTTTCGGCTGGTTATCAGATACTAACGACGTGTTGTCGTGATCGTTAACTATCTAAGGTCTCATATTAGTCGTGCGCACTGTGTCGTTCGATCGCTTAGTGGGATAGCCAATACAGATGCAATGGAATTTTAAGTAGGGGATGGTTCTAATCAGCGGTATGATACCAAAGTTATCGGTGAACAACTTCATGTGGCATTTCACACGCAGCTTTGAGTTGCTGGGGTAACGAATCGCGACGTACGAAAATGTATGTACTGAAGATGCCACAGGTATTCAGAGTTTGACAACGCTTTAACCAGTAACACCTTCTAATATGAAGCGTACCCATCAAGTGAAATCAAAAGACAGAAACGAGGATGTTATAAGATATATTTGATAAGCTATCAATATATCAAGGATCATCTGATCTAATCTGGCTAGCGATTGCAGTAAATGTTGAGCACGGCGTTCCCACACGTGATCTGGTGCGGATTCATGACCGAGAGCCTTCAGCTGGATGAGCCCATTAAAACTAATGCGGTCAGCATCCAACGTCGAAAACATACAGAGCTACTTATTTTGGGGATTTATTTACTGCTACAGTACCAAGTTGTAAGACGGGTTCATCCAATGGTGTTGTAGCGGGTCCATAACAGTGGTTGGCATTGATACGTTCGTAACAACGAAAGCCCAATGGATGGGTTTGCATAAGACCTTCCACCCTAATCGGTGGTCGGTTTTCCATCTTCAGCTTGCAAATTTAAGACCCAATCTTGTAGACGGTTATTAGCATCAGCGGAAAGGATGTTTACTTTTGAGCCAGTATCGAATAGATGACAAACTCTTATCAAAACATCGGTAATGGATAAAAGACGGCTATGTTCACAGGCTATCGTCTTCATTAGTATGTGTCAGCAGGAAAATTTCCCGAAATATTTGTCGTGATGGAAGGTTACGTTAAATGTGAGGCGGAAATTCAAGTTAGTTGCTATGACATCTGTCTGGTTAATATATCTTCTGATAAGGACTTTGTGAAATGTCTAAACACTAGTCGTAAATTTTTTGTAAGAGAATATCTTGATAAATTATTTCATAGGTTACGTTATGATGGCTTAATTTTATTGATGGTCCCACTATAAGTGTAGTACTTGGAAAAGGGTTTTCAACAATCCTAGTTCAGTATATTGATTGTTTTCATAACCTTTTGTGAGTCTATTTTGTTTACTATCAAAAATGAGAACAAAATTACTAAGCTTTGGACTTCAGGATAGGTTTTTTCGAGGACTTTCATTTTTACACAGTATCTTCGTACATACACTGAAATAGTGTATTCTGTAATTATGAACTACAAGTACAATCATTTCCACTTCATTCATTAAATTCGAAGATGCACCTTTTATAACTACTTTTTTCAAACTTTAGGCTTTTCTGGACAGGGATATCGAATTACTTGTTGGTTTAAAACTATGTCTAGGCTGTAGGAATATCTTTATGGTTACTGAGCGGTATAGTTCTTCTTGTTTCGCTAAAAAATGAAAAGAAAAAACGTTATTTTACGCGGAAATTACCCGTTGCAGTGGTTGTGGCTATTAAAAAGTCACACCTAGGGTAACATCCCACAGAATCTACAGAACTGAAGTAAACGCCGAGTCTTTTGAAAGATTTAACAAAACGTGCAATCACTATCGCTTCCTGTATGGAACTGAATTTTCAAAATCCCGCACTTTTTTGTAGTTCCTTTGGTTTTTTATCTTGAAAGGATCTCCTGGATGTAGTTTAGTACTGAATCGTATAAGCGATCTTTTGGAATAAATATGATCATAGGAAACGTGATACACAATAACATTATGCGTTGTTATTTGCAGGATGACAATGATAAAAGGCATCCAGACTATCGTATAGTATGATGAGAAGGTCTTTTTCTATAGGGGAAAGTACTGTACTAAAATCAACCAGAAAGTTCGAGGTACAGTTCCCGATTACCATTCTACGTCTATTAGTGTTAAGAGGAAGGAATTCTCCGACAGTCTTATTGTATATTTTATTCAAGCTTTAAAAATCTGAGAAACCAGAAAGACGTCCTATCTTCTTTCACATCTTGAGACTATCTGGATATAAGTTTGTTTGAGAATCTAAGGTACATCCTGGGTGGTGGAAGGATGGAGCCTTGTGATACTCCTCTTGACAGCCGGAAAAAATAAGATGAACTCTTATAACTTGTAATCTGATATGTAACAGGTAAAATTTTTGTAACATGCTTTCATTTATTCAACTTATGATGAGCTATGCAAAGTTTCTAAAAGAGCTATAGGCCTTCAACACTACTCACTATGCACTTAGCTATATTTCTTGAGAAACCGCCTGCTACGACTCCTAAATTCTTTTAATGGATAATCTTGGATGAAGGTGCTTTGTTTTTGTACAGTGATGTAGATTACTGTAATTAAAATTTAGGAGTACGGCACTACTTATCATTTAGTACTAACGACAATGGAGTTTTCTACTCAACCAGAGCATTCAAGTTTCCCTGTAACTCTATCTTACTTTTGCTGTTGTTTATGTTCTACCAAAAATATGATGTCATCACCAAACTATAGGGTGGATGATTTAGTAAACCAGATTCATAAAACAAATATAAATTAGAAAACGTAACCGTTAGTGGTGTAGCCGAACATGGCGAATTCCACAAACCACCTTCTCATGCGTTTGCCATAGTTATGATGATCAAGTTAGTGTAGAACTACTTGATGGTTTCGATTTTATTAAAGTATAATCGAGATAGTTAAGTTTTAGGTGCATTTATTATGGGTTGGCTTGGCCTTACTGTCATACTAATTGCTGCTCCAAGTATGTTATGATATACGATTACACATTTAAACAAAGCGATGCTTGAAGCATGTTGCTAACAAGCTGCTTGATGAATCGAAATGTGTTTACAGTTAAACACATGAAAAATTATTCGCCTAAATTTTAAAGATAAAGTCGCACATATATTTGAAACATAGTTTGAGTGCTATGAAATTATTGATTGGCAAGGCAGGTAAGTTAATACAACTAATGATCTAACGTAGCTCTAACTAGTAAATTAACTCGATACTGTATTATGCATATGAAATAATCGTATACCAAGATGCATTCAATTGAGAAAAATTGAGTTAAAAAAACCTAACATGACATCAGTTTGTAGATTCCCTTATTGCTACTATGAACTCCTCGAAGTAGGAACTCGTTATGGAAAGAACCACTGATTAGAAATCCTAGATGATATAGCTTTCAACTGATAACAATGGCTCAGATTATATTGGATCTTTCAAGTCTTCAAGATTGCACATCTTGTTACATAAATTCCCACAACTATACAAACTCAAAGCATTCTCGCTGTATTACTTGAGGCATTAGCTGTGAGACATCTTTCATGTAATTTCTTGGACACTCATAGTCTAGGAAACTACTCTTTTTAACACAATAAATCAATTCACCACCACTTTAAGTCCTATGGCATTTTATTAGACGCAAAATAAACATAGGTATCTTGCTAGTTGTTGTGACGGATATGAGTTTATAAAAAACAGACGCACTAGATCATTAGTTTACAACCTAATTTTGCCCTCTTCTATAACTAGTACGTCGAATTTTGTATGTATTTTATTCTAAACCAGCAGCCAAAAATTGGCTAAATAATAGTCAAACTGTCTGTTTTCCTCCTTTTTTCTAAATTCCACTTAGTATTTTCATCAAATACTTTGAAATCAAATCATTGGTCAAATTTGCTTGCTAGTTATTCATAATCTCACACTTAATTCCTTTTACTGAGGCAAAACTTTAATTTTAGTAATAAAACATTATAACTGACCAGTCCTTTTTGTCACTAAAGGAGGAAAAAATGATAAGGAGAGTATTTAAAACCATAGTTTGTAGGTGACATTTTTTAAAAAGATATCAATAAAAGTAGATATGTATTGAAAATAACTTCATAAATCATGAATCAAAGTTTATTCGAGAAATTTGTACATAACTATGAGTTAAAATTAAAAGAGGTATATAGGTGAGTTGGAATACTTTTCGAAAAAATAAAATGCTTTATATTTCAGAAACTGTGATACATATCGCCTTACTGAGTATAATGCAGCAGTCAAAATCCAAGCATGGTTTCGTGGTATTCGAATACGATGCTACTTAAAGTTGGTTAAATATATGTTACTGTTTTGTATAAGTGATTTCATGACATCATTGGTCAGTTTACATTTTATTGTATTGCTTTTACTTAAAATGCATGTTAAGGTTTCAGGAAAATAAAAAACTTTTAGAATAGATGAGTTTTGTTTTGCAGGGGAATCAAAGACAAGGCTTTTGTTCTTTTTTGGTCTCATCAGCTAGATGCAACTGCATCCCAATGTTGATGGTTACAGTAAAACTTGAACCCAGTAACTTTCTGTTATATTTTTCTCTTTTACGGTTATAACCCAACTATTCCTATTGCTTAGTATTCTCGGACACCAATTCGCTCGACAAGTCCCCAAATCAGAACACGGTTGAACAGGAAAGAGATTGTGTTCCAAATAACAAGGTTAGATGGAAGAAAGAAGCACAATAGGAAAACCGTTAGTATATTTATAGTTTTTACATAAGAAGATTCTAGAGCCTTCCCCATGTATCGACTAGCGCTGATTGGATAAGAATAAGCCAATCAGCTTGCGCCAAAGCAATCGTGCATTGAGCATGCTTTAATCCAACCTATATCCCGCCAACACTTTCACTTCAAACGCTTACACTATGGTGACCAGTCAAGATCAATACAAACTTTTCCAACTTTTATGATGCTTCTGATGTGATTGGAAATTATTTGAATTATGCCGTTATTAATGTTCAGGACTGGGTTTTGATTAGTCTTAGTATAAGTGTGCACTCAGTAGGTCATCTACTTAAGGTAATTTTGTCACAAGTTTTCAGAATTGATAGATTATGGTTAACAGCAGAATCTAGAAGTCACATTTCATCCTATTACAATTAGGATTGACCAAAATTCAGTTTTAAATATTAACGAAGAGACAATTCAAATACTTTCAAATAATTTGTTAACTATTATAAATTCAAAATAAGACAGTTAAAAAGTCGAAAAAAAGACTATGATTTAGTAAGTGTATTCATTTACAGTGATTGGTGAAGATTACTCAAAACTAATTACCTTCAAGTATCTGAAACAGACCTTTATTATTAGTACAAAGGCGGCCTGCTTGAATAACTGGGCTACCTGTTCCTTCCATCTATATATCTCGAAAAGTTGTTTTTTATTCTGTTAAAGCACATGATTATGTCTATTAATCGCATAACTTGTCCAGGAGCGGATATAAAAAGATTTCAGGACAAAATTTAAATATCCGTCGTCAGGATCGACCAAGAAATAAGAAACGTTGTGGCAGCGTTGTAGCTACATTTTTAAACGTGAACTAGTGCCAATCTATCTTTACATGTTTTAAGTTTCATAGTGGCTTTATCGACTGTCTAATTTTAAGTTGCCGTCCAAAAACTTGGATGAATACAATTATGTTTATGTGTGTTCGGTGTGCGTTTCTGGACTATACTTATGCTTTTGACTTCATTCCAAGACGCGTTCTACCAAACAAGTTAGTCAGTGTCAACACAGACAGTCGGCTGGCCAACTCACTATGTTCTTACATCCCTGAAAAAGAATGAGAGTGTTCGATGTCTCTACTGTCTCAAGCAGGTGTGCCACAAGGAGCTGTTTTTTCATCGCTTACAGTAATAACTGTAATTTTTACTTCCATCTAGTTTTGTAGACTGTAAGTCTGTCTCAACAATTCTTGTAGTGCTCTTCAGATTTGTAATCGTTTTTTCCATTGATTTGGATACTTAGGATTAGACGATTTATGACTGAAATTAAGAGATTCCTATGCCATTTAAAAATTTTAGTAGAAATATCCTTGTGTAGCGGTTCGCGTCTAGACAGAAGATACTTTGTGTACTAGAGAAGCAAGCGGATTACAGTGAGTGACAAGAGTTGGAAAAGAAGAACGAAAGGAAAGGGTGATATGACGACCCAGCTAGCGCACACAATGCACTTTCATCTAGTAACAGAAGCAACTGATAGTCATCAGAGGTAATACAAGCCTCATGTTAAGACAATCTTGGAATCAGAATGAGAAGCAGATAGCTCAACTTGCGACACCTGGGTTTTATTCTGAAATTAAAAAACAGTTATCACTATAATATCACCCATTGAATGTTGGGTTTAGCTTTCGTATAAGTTATTTACAACAAATGTTGTCTGTTTGTGACATTAAATAGTTCTAATTTCAACACAACCCAGTCCTTTTCTTACTTCCATGAACAACTCAGGCCGCATTTTTTATGCAAAGATACTTTATGGTGTAGAGGTGTATCAAGCGAGTCGACTGACTTTATAAATCTGGTTTAAAACTAAACTAGTAAACACGGATCAATGAGTTCATATTATCTCTACTGTTCACATTATTGATGTGTCAATTTGAATAAACAGATTTCCTTGTGTATCAATTTGAGGCCTGTGAGATCGGATGGTAAAACAGTAGAGCAAATGTCTTGATCTAGTCTGAGTATTTGTTAGTTCGCTTAGACTTTCTATCCGGTACCAATGATCTTCGAGTAATCAATGACATGTTAAATACGAGGTAACACCCGATTGTAACAATAAATAATAATTGGTCCGGGGTGCAGCTTCCTGCGCTTGCTCACGCTATAACTGAATACAGAACAACTCGCCAAGCAGATATTGTCTAACTATGCTAATTATGATAGAACCATTTTAACTTAGCAAATATCAATAGAGGAGTCCCACAATAGGATGAAACGGCAGTTCAGTGATTCCAGGTTTTTCATGGTCGTCTAGCTTTAAATGACTCATGATCTAAACTATTGAAATTACAATAATATTCACAAAATCCCCTTCTGATATCCATAGAATTAGTTTATCAGAATACTTTCATTTATTATCAAATGTTTAAAAGATTATCTTTCTTTTTAAACTTCCTTTTATTTATAGACTTCTCGAAAAATGTACAGTCATCATTCAAAAAACTTGGAGAGGCTATCTAGGTCGTAGACAATATCGACTTGTATTATCTAAAACTGTTATAGAATATCGACGAAACAAATTTAGTAAGGCTGCAGCAAAAGTAATACAGTTCATTCGGTTAAGGTCAATAATTTATCTGTTTATTTTTATTCTATGATAGATTCAAAGTGCATGGAAAGGTTATTTAACGCGTAAATATATATTCAACTTTTATTCACGGAAAGTTTATCTATCTGCACTAGTTGATGTGGGAGAATTTGTCAAGTAAGAAGTTTGATCATTATCGAATATTTACCTGGGAATCAAATCTATGCATGATACTTTATGTTTGTGCTGATGATGTTGTTCAGAAGAACAATGATAGCTCCACGACCAAACCATCCAGCTCGGAAAACAAAACTCCATCAAAAAAAAATTAATTGTGTGCAAATAATTCGTATCATGAACTGAACTCCATCTGACAACCACTGAAATAAAAAAATATTGATTACTAACTTAATGATTTAAATGTAACACATTCATCACAATACCTCCATTATCATGGACTAATCGCTGGTTGTGTGGACTTCATAAGAGTCTAATAGTATGACGAAACTATTATCTAGGATTCCCTGATTTAAATAGTTGTCTAATTAGGGTCAGGCCATGATATTAGAAATTGTTAAGTAATTAATTATCGATATTACTCATCAAATATTTCTAATAATAAACTAGAAATCAGTTGTCTGAATATGAAAAAGAGATGAAATATGTGGAATGTAAAGAAAAAGAAGAAAAAGAAAGGAAAAGAATAATTAATTGGGCGAAATCACATCATTTTCTGGTTTCAACATGTTGTCAACCAGGAATATATCAAAATCCAATGGATAAAACGTAAGTAAATCATGGTATGCTATGATATTACTTTCGCCTTATAAGTAGCATGATTATATTTAATGAATGAAAATAAGTTCGTGTTTAAACTAGGAAAATACTGCAATTTCCACAAAACCCTATACTGATGATAATCATATGCTCGTTAATGACTCATTTCAAGATGCGACTCCTGAAGTTCTAGTGAGAAGCCGTGACCGGTGAAGTTCAACTATATTGGGTGTGAGACGGTTATTTACCCCAGGCAACGGATAAGGGTTTAGCAATTTCGTGAACTGAGTTAACTTAGACATTAACACTCCGTTCAATGGTCTATAGATTAAGAGTTCGAGCGCAAGATGAATGGTCTTGAGTTTGATCCACTGAGGTGGACAAAACGGCCGTTCAGTGCTTTCTGTTTCTTAATAGTGATCTAATTCACATCAGTTTGTGATTTAAACTATGAATATTCACTAATTATTCTTAACATCATGAAGATATCATTAGGACTGCATTCCTTTTATTACGATTACTGAAGAGGGAACTACAACTTTTGTTATACTTAAGCATAACAATCCTGAAACAAAGTAACTGATAGTTAGTATAATCCAAGTATGAATGATTAGTGATAGAAGTTATTGATGTAGTATGAAGTCTAGTTGACATTCTAAAAGTTGGTGTCAGTACTATAAAAAGATTTATTCTTTAACTTACATTAAATTTTCAAAAGCTTTGATGTCTATTTACGTCATTTTGTTAGTTCAATTACATTATTAATTTGAACAAATCATCAGAATTTCCAACGTCTTCTGTATTCTGCCAACAATAAGTAATTTTGACATATAGTTGTTGTATATTTTGGTAAATAAGTAGAAAGTATATCATATATATGTATACTTATGTTGTTAGTAAAATATTCAACGCATCAAACGCTCCAATATTCTATGGAATTCATCGGGGCTTTAGCTGATGTCGATCTATTGTGAAAATCAATTATAACCCATAAATATATGATAACATAAAGTAATTTTGTAGTGAACGAGAACATAAGTGTTTAAACATAAGTATTTGAACACAAAATTACTGAACACCTTACTAAAATCTGAGAACCATACGGTAATTATTTAATTTGTGAAATACCAATACATTGTTATTATATGGTGGTTGGAGGTAGTCGACAGGAAACCCTGAACCCAGGTTTCGTGCTAATTCGCACTCATCAGCATGATGTACCTGTAATCTTGAGGGATCCGGTGCTCCCTGACGGATTTGATGCTGTGTCACCCAGATTCACAGTCACAGACGTTACCATTGAGCTACCCGGGCTGCGACCGACCTGCTGTAGGGCTGAGATGTAATCACAATTGATAGATCACTCGGTGGTGATCAATGTCATGTGTGTCAAGTCTAATCTCAACATAGTGCACGCAGTATCGAGTCATCTAGACTGGTGGCCACATTTCAACTCTGTCGATAGCATTTTCTCTGCACTAATAAGAGCTTGACACACATGACATTGATCACCATCCAGTGATCAATCATTTGTGACCAATCGATTGTCGCAAACTTGACTGTTTCTTTTACAAATATCAGTCCACCATCTTAGTTTTAATTGTTCCTGCATTTTCATACCAATTGCTTTCCGTTCCTGTTCTGTCCTTCTCATGATCTCAACCATTGAAATCACTGTAATATCTACAAAACCCTTCTGATAATAATCAACATATGCTCACCAGTGACTGGTTTCAAGATGTACATCCTGAAGTTCAAGTGAGAAGCAGTGACCAGTGGAGTTCAACCAGGTCTGTTGTGAGATAGTAACTCACTGAAGACAACGGTGGATGTGTCGCTCAATTTCGTTAAACATTAACACCGTTGGATGCCTTAACAGTGGTCTAGTGGTTAAGTGCTCGCGCACGAAACCAGCATGTCCTGGGTTCGAATCCCGTGGGGCGGTATCGTGGATGCGCACTGCTGAGGAGTCCCACAATGGGACGAAACGGTTGTCCAGAGCTTTCAGGTTTTCCATGGTGGTCTAGCTCAAATTGACTCATGATCTCAACAGTTGCAAATACGTTCTATTTCTGACTGTCGTTATACAGTACTTATGTGAATATAAGTAGCTCACACCAAAATTTGAGAAAAATATTGCTTGTAACCGACTCGATTTCTGCAAATTGCAAAGCACTAGTTTTAAGTATAATCAATATTCACACATTTGGATTGTTATTCAATGATGATCGAATTATTTGCTCTAGAGAATATAATAGCAAGATTTCCCTTTTCATACATGTTTTCTGTATCTATCACATAATTATTTCTTAATATTTTTTGATAAAACGAAAAGACAAAAGAAATCAATTACATTTTCATCTTGATAATAGACTAAATGACAAAGAAAAACTTCTACTATCAGTAGTTCATCAAGAATCAATTAAAAGTAACAATAAACGAGAAAAAAAATTATCAACAAAGCAAACATTACATCAAATGAATTCAATTAATAAAGAATTTAATCAATTGCCAAAAATTAAAGGTCCATTTAAAAATCTAGAAGAAGTAAAAAAATGGATTCATAAACCAATCGATTTATCATTACGTGTATCAACGGATTATTTTTCATTAGAAAAATTTCAACAAATTTGGAAATCTAAAGAATGGAGTAGTAGATTACATGACAATAAGTGAGATATAATGATTACTTTTTAACTAGATATAGTAATGATGTATCTCTTTATGTTTCTTTCTTTTTTTTCTCTTTCTAAATTTATTTCACTGGATTATACTTCTTGAATAATAGCTTCAGACACTAATCTTTCTGATTATTAACTATATTTTTACTACCTCTTGTACTACAGAATTTGAATCGACAATTGTATCTCTGTGCTAATGTGGTATGGCAGCTCGAACTGATGTACGTACGTACGAAGTTCTATTTTGTTACTGACTTACTAACTGACTGAGTTATATATCAATTGAATTTGATAAGTTCATCAAGTGTAAAAATGAATGGATTTACATATATATGTAATTTCACTTGAAGTACAATTAAATCTGAACTTTATAAGAAAGTCACACAAGATGATTCAAGTTTAATTCAAGCAAAGAATGTTAGTTCTCAATATTACTGTAAATATAACTCGGTAGTGAGTGAAGAATTCTGTATCTTTTACCTTCAACAATGTTATCATTATAAACACAATGTAAATATATTAAAGATAACAATCAAATGTAAGTAAAAGCGTTATCAAGTCAAACCAGATGTCAGTGGAGGAAGAAATCAGGAGGAAGCACTGGAAGTGGATAGAACACACATTGAGGAAAGCACCCAACTAAGTTACAAGGCGATTTCGCACTTGAAACCCTCAGGGTCAAAGGAAAATAGGAAGACCAAAGAACACATTACGCCGGCAAATGGAGATAGACATGAGAAGAATGAATAACAATTGGATGGGACTGGAAAGGAAGGCCTAGGACAGAGTGGGTTGGAGAATGCTGGTCAGCGGCCTATGCTCCATTGAGAGTAACAGGCGTAGGTAAAGTGATCAAGTAAGAAGACAATATCACTGGAGAAGAAAGAATTCGTGAACCATAAAATACAAGCTAATTTTGAAACTGCAGATCTAAAGAAAAATTAAAAAATAGATACTTCTATATCATTTTGATCGATTTTGATTCTTGTTACACAACATTTTCAACTACTGACTAACATAATTGTGCAAGACCCAATCAAGTAGTCTGTAAATGGAATGCTAGTGATTGATAGTCGTGTCTATATTATGAAACAATAAGTTCACGAACAACATAGCCTGCTATACAATATTCACAAGATAAAAAATCAACACACTTAAGCATCTTGAGTACTAGCTGAGTTAACATTATCTGTCGCACATTTACACAGACTATCAAATTATATATATATATATATATATTACAATTTAAACGTCGTGACAAGAATCTATACCTAATTGCTTAAGAAAATATTGAACAGTATATATATATATATATATATATATATATGTACTTGAAAGCCAATTGATATATAGGCGGAAGATTTCGTTATTGAAATGATAACTATTAGTTAGATAAAATGACTTGACACTATTCTATATATTTTTATGTTAATTTACTTTTTTTATTGTTCATTGAATTAGTTTCTACACTGGTCATCCACCATCAACACCATATGAACGTTCATTATGGACAACATCTGTGTACGGCTCAATACCGTATGGTACAAAACATTTTCGTGCATCAGAAGATGAAGATAATTCAGCAATACATAAACAACCAAAATTTCGTAATATATTACCACCGATTCCATTGTTTGACAAATTTAATAAAGAGTATATACCAGGTTATGCGACAGGATGATTGTATAAAAGTATGTATAACAACAGTCTTGATATGAAGTAATCAATTGAAGTTTCCTTTAAAAAAAAACAAAATGATTGAAATTCTAAATATCTTTTTCAATTCCTCAATTAAAACGTGTAATCAAGGTGATATTGTTTTGATGTACAATTCACTAAAACTACATAGTGCCAGCTTATCCTGTTATTGATCAAGTTAAAATATTTTGAGAATAGAGTTAGTTGTACACCCCTACATCTTATGTCATATATGATTGATGTGTGGGAGAGAATGATAATGATTGGTTGTCTGCTTAGTTAGTCATGTAGATAGTCTGACAGGTGTCAGATGAGTTATATATTCCCCTATCCTTATTATTATTACGAATCATTATTAATTGTTCATTGTTGTTAGACTGTGTCGGGTTTTCGGTGTGGAAATACATTTACGTTGTGGTCATGCTAATCACGTGTTCTTGATCTGAATTGTGTTGACGTAACGTAGAATAGACACTGGGAGGGAATCTAGTGTAGATATTCATCTAAGGTAAATTAACGTCCCATACGTATAAACGTAGAAAACCAACCGTTATAACATTAGACGAAATAAAACCGAGCGTTGTAACAGTGATAATTGGTTTACTCTCTGCAGTCGCCATGTTTTATTTGTTGAGATTTTGTAGACTTATAATCCAAAAAAACATTTACAGAGACTAAAAAAACTTATTTTAATCACCGAAAAGTTGTTCATTTAGGTTAAGACTATCGGTGTACTGGTTTCTGTGTTTGATTTTGTGCTTAGTGACAAGTTTTGTACTTTTATTATATATACATTATTTTTAGAACTATCACTGTGATACCTCATTTGTATTGGTTATTTGAATCTTCTCATTGATGATTAGGACTGTAATTGATTAGTCCTAGTGTGAACGTCAACTCTTGGATGCAGGACGAAACGCTCGTCCTGAACTCCACTAATAGTCACCACCCATTTCTGCTTATATCATTATGATAATTTAATCTTAACCATGTATTCAATTTTTTTTGCTTTCATAATGACAATTACCGTGCTTCATATATCAAAGTGTAGTTTTCTAGAATTCGAAAATGAAACAATAAATGTTCATTGTATACTAATTGACTACTTAATAGTAATCAATAATGTGTATATCTGATGCTAAGTATAAATCTAATTTTATCAATGTCATTGGAATATTATCATAAATCTAAGTGAACTAATTATAATAGTGGGTTAAGCCAATTCCAAAATTTTCAAGAAACATTGTAGTGAACGAGAACACAAGTGGAGACGATCAAATATATATGAACACATAAATTACAGAACATCTTAGTAAAATCTGAGAACCATACAGTAAATACTTCGTTTGCGAAATATCAATCAATCGTCTCAGACATTGTTGTTTTTTCGTTTCCGCACCAATGATTCTCTGTTCTCTTTCTCCTTTTTTCAATCATCTTAACCTTCTGTCGCCAGGTATTTCACTTTCGATTTATGATACATACTACTTTTATCTATCGACATCAGTAGCACACAACACACACACCACAAAGTCACTTCTCTATTAGATGGTGGTTGGAGGTAGTCAACAGGAAACCCTGGACCCGGGTTTCGTGCTACTTGGCACTCGTCAGCATGGTGTACCTGCAATCTCGAGGGAATCGGTGCTCCCTGACGGATTCGATCCCGTGTCACCCATCTTTACAGTCACAGACGTTACCACTGAGCTATCCGGGCTGCGACCGATCCCCTGTAGGACTGAAGTGTAATCAGAGTTGATTGGTCACTGAGTGGTGATAAATGTCATGTATGTCAAGTCCTTATTAGTGCAGATCGAATGCTATCGACCAAATCACATAAAATTCAGATACTTAATACCCTCAATTATTCTCACTAATTCTCAGTCTGTTATTGTGTATAATGAAATTTATGTTCAAATGAATAAATTTCAGTGTATGAATTAACCAAAATTTCAGGAAATATATCCCTTAAAGATGTTAATCACCTATACTATTAACGAATTCAATAATTTCGAGTACAAAGAATGGCAAGACAGACAAAAAAATGAGAAACATAACTATTACACTTAGAAACAAATAATTTCTTATATTAAAAAAAGAAAGAAAAACTCATCCAATTAACCACAGACAATAAATACACTTTATGGAAACTAAGAGTTTTAACTCTTAAAAATTTAATTACCAAATGAGATGACGTATTAATCAAGTGGTAAGGACAGAATAGAAGAAAATTTTCTTTTCAATGAAATTATCTACGTAAACTACACATTCATATTTATCTTCTACCATTCATTCTTTACTCTTTGATTATTAGGTAGTCTTATTTGATAATTAAATTTGTGGATATGCACTGCTGAGGATTTCCACAATAAGATGAAATGACCGTCTAGTGCTTTTAGGTTTTCCAAAGTGGTCTAGCTTCAATTGACTCATGATCTCAACCATTGAAATCACTGTAATATCTACAAAACCCTTCTGATAATAATCAACATATGCTCACCAGTGACTGGTTTCAAGATGTACATCCTGAAGTTCAAGTGAGAAGCAGTGACCAGTGGAGTTCAACCAGGTCTGTTGTGAGATAGTAACTCACTGAAGACAACGGTGGATGTGTCGCTCAATTTCGTTAAACATTAACACCGTTGGATGCCTTAACAGTGGTCTAGTGGTTAAGTGCTCGCGCACGAAACCAGCATGTCCTGGGTTCGAATCCCGTGGGGCGGTATCGTGGATGCGCACTGCTGAGGAGTCCCACAATGGGACGAAACGGTTGTTCAGTGCTTTCAGGCTTTCCATGGTAGTCTAGCTTCAGTTGACACATGATTTCAACTATTGAAATTACTAAAATCTTCACAAAAGTCCTGATATGAATTAAATTTTAATTTACAAAATAATATTTAATAATAAATTTCACACATACATACATACATAGAAACATTTATACACACCGTAATATACATGAATTAGAGAATAATTAATAAAGAAAAATGTTACGGAATAAAAGAAAAGAAAATAAATAAAGAATACAGAAAAAAGACATCCATATCTGTTATTATTATCATTATTAATAATAGTTAAATATATAAATAAATAACATTAAAAATTTGACAGTGGGTTCAATATCACAATGATTGATTTGTTTTTGTTTTGATATCCTTTTTTTAGTTTTCTTTTTTGAAAAAAATTATCTTTTTTATACACGATGATTACTATAAGATCTGTATATTGAAATGGGATACAATTGAGCTTTTAAAAAAACAAACGATTCAACATATCTCTTTGTCTTGCGCGCGCACTCGCTTGCGCTCTGTATTCTAGATTAAGGGATATAACCTTGAAATAGAATTAGAGTGAATAGTTAAACAATGTTAAATTATATAAATTCTTTTATTCAATTCATATTTGTTATCAGGATAAAATAGTGGTAGTAGTAGTAGTAGTCGTAGTGGTAGCATTATTATTAGTAGTAGTAGTAGCATGTTTTCTTTGTACAACAGAATTAGATTTACAAATGATTCATTATTTAGTCTGTAATATATGTATGTATTAGATCCCTGAACAAGAAATAATAATAATTGTCATTAGTATAACAATAATCTGAGAGGATAACAGAAAATAAAACAAGTTTTTAGTACTGTTATAACATGTAAAATAAAATGCATTTATTACCATAGTTTAATATCATTCAATTTATAGGAATAATAGAGAACTTTTAAAATAACATGGAGGAATATTTTTTTTAAAAAAAGGAAAAAGAAAAATTAAAATCTTGTCAAAAGATTATTATCATTTAAAGTATCAACATTGTTTTCATATAACCTAGGTACACTTAATGCATTAGAATTAATTTGAATAGGATTAGGCATAGTGACAAGATCTGTTAAAGAATATCTTCTAGGATTATTAATTGTATTATTGTTATTATAATTATTATTAATTGTAGTTATAGCAGAAGTATTGATATTGTTTGGATTAGTTGTAAACGTGTTTGTATCCGATGAAAGAACATCATAAACATTTAAAATTTTATTTGGTTTACCATATGTCATGGATGGTCTATTGGTTGATGTATTATTTGGTAATGAATAAATTGATTTATCATCTGTTTGCCGGTTTTGCAACTCATCAACTGTTTGGTTTGTATAATCATAGATATTCTGAGTAAAAAAAAGAAATAAAGAGGGAATCGGGAAATTATTCATTATGTAAAAATAGACTCGAAAATGCTTAGTGAAATTAGATATGTTATTTATTAGGAAGATCTATTTCATTTGACGATCTTCATTAAACGAACTACATAACAAGCTTCTACAACTGATACCTTATTAATAGAAAGAAGAACTTATTTATATCTTGTCAGATAAAGTCAGTGAATTTGCTGTCACAATATCATAGACAAAAATACTTGAAGAATAATAGATATCCGTTGTGATTTGTTGACGAGAATATGAACCTCAAATCCCGAAAGTAATCAATAAGTTATGTTTAAAAGAGAATGATTTACAAGAGTATTGATTTTAAGGGTGACAAAACTGCAGATCAACCTTTGGGATACAATTATTCACTCGAGTTATGTTTAGTGAAAACCTAGAGAATAAGTTGTGTTAGTTTTTCACTACGTGTATATTTACTAATTCACCTGTCTTTGTGGATTTAGGTATATCAGTCCTTCGATAAGTTTCCTATCCAAGAGGGTTCATAAATACTATCCATAACAATTGAAAACAAACAATAGTGAATAAATAAGAAGCTCAATAATTAAGTACCCTATAAGTCATTTTAATCAAAACAGATTCGCTATTCAAAATCATCTACAAGGTGAATAGAAACCTATCAACCACAACTAAATTCGATTTCCTTCGCGTAACTTGAGCTTTCAGGATATAAGTATCCATTTACGATCCCTAGTTTTAAATGGTTGTCTAACAAGTTTCAGTCTATAATATATTCCGTGACAAGTTAGAATCCAACACTATGACTTGA